AAAATTATTTATACTAATTGTGGTATAAATAATTTATACTAATTTTTAGGTGTACAACTATATTGTACACCTAAAAATATTAAATAACGAAATTAGAAATATCTGATTTAATTACCATCTCGCTTTATTCTCCTATTAAGGTTTAGAATATTTTATTCATATCGCAATAGAATTGGCATTAAATTTGGTAGTTAATGCTTGCTTTTTTAATAGAAAGTTCAAGTTATTGTCTTGAAATTTTATTTTCTATTGAGTTATTGACTAAAAAGAGAATCTCTCCTTGAAGGTAACTAACTTCTATACAAATATTCATGATTAAGCAGTTGATTGTGAATTGTGTTACACAATAGTTTATTAGAAACGCTAGAAACCAAGTAATTTTATTGCGTTAAGATTTAAATCTCTTCTTTTGTCATAAAGTTTAATTCTTTTTTTGTAATAGAAATATGTAAATCTAAGCAGTTAATTTCTGTTTGAGTGGTATTAGTTTCAATAAATACTAACTTAGAAGGGTAAATATTGCGTACTTTTTCTTTCAAAATTTTTTATAACAATAATACCGTCAATACATCTAAAAATATTTGTAAAGTGATTTTTATCAACTTGTTTAAGTGAATTTTGGAAAAGAAATTCCTTTGAGGAAATAAAAGGTTAGAAATTTTTGTTGAGTAATTCGAAATCCATTGGAATGCCAATAATTTATTGATAAATAAATTTTCTAAACTGAATTTAGTTATCAAATGTTAAGCAATTATGGAAAATGTCCATTATTTTTTATAATGGGAGTCATAATTTCAAGAAAAAACGAAAGAAGAGTCAGATTGTTGTAAATTTCTGTTAACCTGCGAGCAAGCGCACTGGATCCAGTGGACCCGCGCCTATTAAACAAACCTTTCTCAAAGCAACGCCTGTTTTACGCACGTTGTTAAGGTCCAGTGTAGTCGTGTTGGAGGCCGACCTCCATATGCCTCCGAAGACTTTTGTCTGGAGCTTTGATTTGGAATTTTCATTTTGATCCAATAGGGTCTTTCAGACCCATTGCGCCTATTCGTATTATTATTATTACATTGTTGATTTGTGGTAGTATAGAAAGTGGCAAACATGTCACGGGATTTGTCTTGCAAGGAAGAAATGTTGCAAAAGTTATTAGATCCATCAACTGGCGAAGAATGTATGAAAAAAACGAGAAAAACGAAGAAACGAAGTGTATTGAGAATGTAAAGATACAGTGTTTGCCTAGCAAAGCGTACTGCGCCGAATATGAAAAAGATTTCATTTGGAACACATGACAACACTTTGTTCAATGTACTGCTAACATTTGTCGTTGCATTTTTTCCTCTGTGTCTATAGTGCTAATAAAGAAAATAAAGAATCGATACAGAGAAAAGGTATACCATTATTTTCCTATGCTAATATATAATACGATTTTCTATTCCTTTAAGAAATTCTGTTTCATAAAACCATTTGGAAAAATTAAAAAATTGAATGTGCATGTACTTTAAGTTTGATCATAAAAATTATTATTTCCATAGATGTAACACCTTTCCTGAAGATTTACAATTTTTTCTTCAAAAAACACAAATCGGGTCTTTTGGATGAATTGCGCGCGATCGTGTAACTCATATGAACGCGCGTGCTCCCGGGTTTATGGAAGAAAGGTGTAAAACTTTGAAAAATCGTACCAGTTGATTTCTTTTACTTGATATTTTTAAGAAAATGAAAGTAGTCATACTAATACAATTCAAATAGTACTCTATATTAACTGATGAAAAGTAATTGCATGCATTTTGTTTTAAAACTTGGAAGCGAAAATTGAGTCAGTTTCCTTTTGTAATTTCTAGTACCATTTGCAATAAACTTGAATTTAACTGGAGATTTATAAAATTTAGGTAAGGTTAAATTTGTTGCAGTGTATAAGGCATAAAGGTTATAAAATGTGTTGCAGTCTATAAGGCATAAATTTAAAACATTTGTTACAGTCTGTAATGATTGAAATCTTCAGTCTTCGGTGAAATGCTTTGATCTTGTTGATAATAATTCAAACGCTGGAATTAGTGATACAATAAGTAATAGGTTGCTGAAGTTCATTTTCAATAAGCAAATCATAAAAGTGTTTTCGAATTATGCTGAAACTGTTACTATCATCGTGAATTTTTGATAATCGTAAAGATCTGCTTAAGCCCAAGAATTTTAATTTCAGCTTTGTTGAGAAGAGGTAAATTCTGAAATTAAAAAGTTTAATTTTGATAGTGTTAAAAACAGAAACTTTCTATTCTGAAAATGTAGCAGTAGGAAGATTGATTTCATAGCTATTTAAACAAAGAATTCATTAATATGTTTTTCAATAGCGCTGAGGCAAAACTTTATGTGAACTTTGTAGACTGGTCTAAATTTAGTTCTTAATTTCATAAGTTGGCTCAGTTTAGGTCTTGGAAAATATTCATGTTATTATTATATGCCCCTGGTGCTTAATTATATAAGGAAGAATTTCAGATAAACTGCAATTTCAGATGGTATTAGGTGGTAGTTTTAAGTAAATATCTTACTAAAATTAAGATATTTACTTAAAAGATTTTATATATTTAAAAGAGTAATATTGTAAACAGTAATATATATAACTGTGTAATTGAGGGTTGGGAAGAGATGCTTATTTGACTTAAATATGTTACTAAAATTAATTAAACAAATTAAAAATTTTCTTGTGGAGGATGAAGAAAGTAATATTTGCAGTATACATTATTAATCATTATTTTGCTAGTTGCTAATTTGTAGTTACAAGTGTCAATAATTGTCTTTTATAACTTTAAAACATTTGTAGTTGTTTCGGAAGTATTTGTGAAGTTTAAGTAAAATATTATTTTTAAAGGTGTGGGGCAGTTTAAAAATATTTTCAGCGAAAAGGCAGAATTAAATAATTTGTCAAAGTTACTCTAAAGTTGCGAACTGATGAATATCGGAAAATATTTTATCTTTCTACATCCTCCTCAGTTCATCTTTCTGTTTAGGTACTAAAAAGCAGGGCTGTAGAGTCGGAGTCATGGAGTCGGAATCGGAGTCGGACAGGATATGGGGTAAAAGGAGTCAGAATCCGAGTCGGGCAGGATTTTGGGTAAAAGGAGTCGGAGCTGGAGTCGCTAAAAGCAGATCGACTCCGACTCCAGTTTTTTTGGACAGTTTGAATTTTAAGGAAAATTAAAATTATATTGAAAAAAAATAATGACAAGCTGAGTTGTTATTTTTATTTATGGACTTAAAAGTTATTTTCTATTTTATTGACATATTAATAAATAAATATAAGGAAGGAGGATGGATGTAATATTTGCCATTAGTGATTAAACTGATTCATTTAGTTACAAATCTCACTGGTAAATTTAGACAAACAGCAATAGCAGCAAGAACTCCCAAAATTGATGCCATTCTGATTAAGCGAGCGGGAAAAGGAGCGGTTATTGATCAAGCAACGCGATAAGGAAGTACATATTTGATGATAAAGAGATTATTAGAATTAAGAATTTTTTCAGAAGATGTAGATAACCCTACTGTTTCACTAAGAGAATGATTGTGGAATGATATTGCAGAATTAGAAACTCTTTTTTCTACGCCGTGTATAGCCACAAAAATGCTGCAATATCAAAAATTGACAGGAGGCGAGAATGGAAGAATATGATGTTTGTTCTTTCTGAAATGGAGGGCTTATTGCAGAAGGAATAATTTTTTCAATGAAGAAAAGAGAAAATAGTTTGCTAGACAATGAGATCTTGCTTGGTTCAATATGTAGATCCGAAACACCGAATTTTCTTGGATAACGAACTTGGATCTTTTCTTGGATCTTATATATTTCTTCATTTGTAATTAAATTAGTTGAATTCCATTGGTATTTTGAAGGCTACTTTTTCTTATCATTGATTATTACCATTCGCTCAATGTTATAAAAATAGTCGCGGACAGACATGATCACATTATACTGCGCCTACAGTATTGATGCTTCTGTAGTAATAACTGTCTAAGTGCTAAAGAAAAGAGGGCGATCTTTCAGATAATCATTATAATTGGTTAATGTATTCCAATAATTAATTTAAAAAATTAAATTAGTATATTCTAAAATTTGCTTTTGTTAAGAGAATTCATCTACCTCACAACTGAGTTATAAAGCGAGAAGTATTTACAAACTATACGATCAAAGGTAAATTTAGGAACAGGTTAATAGTTTTTTAGTTATTATAATCGGAGGTCCACTTCTCCCTTAACTGCGGGAGATCTTGACAGATATCTATGGGGCAGCAGGTACAATTCAAAACAATGGCTTTTTTTTTAATAAATAAGTACAACGCACTATGAAAAAGAAAGATTGACGGACTAACATATATTAACAATGCAAAAATATATATCCTCACTTTTAACTATGTACATTTGTTGCATGTAAACTGGGGTTAATGCCCATTTTTCTACACACGTCTCATGGAACCACGTACTACACTCTCCAACACATTTCACCCACTTCTGTCCGGCAGTATCATCAAAATAGTACCCACCAAACTCGCCACAGTAATTTTCATTGTCTTCGAGATCCCTCGAGTACTGGCTTGAGTTCCTCCCTGACGACTAGGTCCCTGTGTTGGTGTTTTACTGCGCAGTTGACTCTGTAATCTGCGAATGTTATAATGGCTGATTCTTGTTTTTTCTTCTATTCTGTACAGAGTGGCTCTGTACTACTGGTACAGGGGATAATTCTGAAAATGATGTAGAAGCTGATGTTGTGGTTGTGATGGTTGTGATGACCTCTGGAGGTTATCGTCTTCCTCACCATAACTGGAATGATGCCATGTGTAGTAGACATGAGTTCATATTCAAACACATTGTCTTCCAAAATATCGAGATTCTATGGATATTCCACATTTTCGAAAGCCATTGGCAAAATTGCCTGATGCAGCGGACTTATCCCAAGCTTGCTTAAATATTTCTGCGAAATCTTCTTTGGTAATCCGCTTTCCTGGATGGTGCTAAACAAAGTTCTTGCATGCCTCATTATTAAAATGTTTCAGGCTCTTGAAGTATGAAACATCAAGGGGGAGGGAGGCATAGCATCTCAATTCCGAACATTGACGCTTTATGCAGTGTATCCGGATCTTTGCGTGTCCATCTATAATGAGTAAAATCTTTCCTTGTGGTTTGTGTTTGTTCAGATGGTCAAGAAATTTATTGAAGACTTCGCTTGTCATGTATCCAGAGTCTGACATCTCTAACGTTGACCCATTTGGTAAACCTTTGGAATAAGACGATTTTTGCCTAAAACCCTTCATTTTGACAAATGGGAGGATGGCACTTCCTGTTGCGCTGCTACAAACCATGGCAGTAACAGTAGACCCCTTTTCTTCTGTCGTGTTGTGGTTTACATCTTTTTTGCCTTTGCAAGAAATCACTTTGTCAGGTTTGAAAATTAGCTGCAGTCCAGTTTCATCGGCATTCAAAATTCTTACCGGTTCTTCCCACAAGTTCAACGCATCATACATTTTCTGTAAATTGTCAAAACATTTTCGAACTTCGTCTCTATTGAGACATCTGGAACATGCATAGCACAAGCCTTGTACTTTTCTTATTGAAACATTAGGGTGTCTTTCTAAGAAAGAATATACCCAGACATATCCTGCCTTGGTCTTGTCTTTGTTAAACCGGTGCGTTAGATTATTTTTCTGCGCAAATTTAAATACTAGCTCCCTAATAGCATTTAAGGTCATGGCAAACACCTTGTAATCCAGCAATAATATATGTCCAACCAGTTCCGTTTCCATAGCAGTATCTAGTGTTACTCTCTTTCCAATTATGCAGATGAGAGGATCTGAAGATATCGCAAATAAGACATATTTGTGGACCCATTTCCCTAAGCCTGTTGACGCCGCAGAATTTTGGTTTTGGAAGTAGTTTCTTGGAGTACAGTAAGATCCTTTGATGTATCTGGAGTCAGCACTAATGCTTACATCAGTAGCGTTGCTCATCGGGTCGCTAATGCTTACTCAGTAGCGTTGCTCATAGGCGTTTTATCTAAGGTGTGTTTTTGTCTGCGATGAGCCTCTTTCAGCAAGAAAGCAAGTGTGCTTTGTCACCGTGTATAACATATCTCGTATGGTTTGAAGGGCAGATTCGGGGTTGAAATTATTTCCATGGCCAGTTTAGTTCCCTGACTTAATTCTGCTGAGAATTTGTCGCACGAAGAGGAATGATCACTTTGGAAAAGCCATCATACTGTGTGAAAAATCTTAGATATGCCATTAGATCGGCATGACCTTAACATTTCTCAATAAGATACCATTCTGGTGTTGAGCCATTGCCCAGAAGGATATCGGCTGTGAGCCAAAATAAACGTGTCAATGCGTTACTAAAATATATCTTTAATCTTCTGGCCACTTAGTAGTTTTCTTGCTGAATATTGCAAAGGATGCTCAGAGGACATCTATCTAGAAGAAATGATGCTTTCGCTAAAAGTTTTATAAAAGAAACGGACAATATTTACATTACACTTGAAGAAAATCTTTAAAACATTCATGCAGCCATCCATTTCTAAGTAATACGACCCGCTAGATAGTATTCACCGATCTATATACTCGACTGGTCTTCTGTACCTGTTACTGCTTACCAGTAACAGGTACAAAATTAGACATCTGTTTCATATAGCATTAGTTTCATAGAATAAGCCCCATTATTCATTCATATTCTACAGCTCTTTTGAATAATTTGAGATACAGTGACTAAGTCAAATTAAAATTATTTCATTCTTAGTATGTATCCCAGTTCAATTAACACGTTCTTTGCGTATAATACTTTTATTTATATTATCTGCCTTAACAAATATTCTTAAAAAAGCAACAATGCCCCCTTCTTTGTTAGAAATAGCTTAATCTTTTACCTAATATGTTTAACAATTACTATCTTGTAACAGTGCACGTCTGCGGTTACAACAGAGCATTAGCGCTTATTTTCCAAATTCCATTAAGTCCAAATTTCAAATTACATTTCCAATAGCTGTAATTTAGAGAGAGTTGGCGACTACTTAATATAGTCCTTTAACCGGAATGAAACGTCACCCACCTAGGAGACCTATGAAATAATGAGTGAATTTTGCACCTGTTAGAGGGTAGGCTGGAATCCACTTTTGTGATCAGACTGCTAGGGAAAGCTAGACTGCTTTGGGAAGACTGCTAGGTTTTCGGAGTTCCAAATGTTAAAAATCAGCTATGCGTTTGCCGTAATACAAATTACGGTTTCCCCAGCAGCCAAATAGGCTTGCGAAACATTTATACCACAAGATAAGGTTCAGGGAAATGTGACAATTTCATACATTCTTTCATTTTACAAAGCGATTGGGGATGAACACATGATTCCCTAAACTAACTTCATAGCATGGCGATTGTTGTTCACCTATTTTTTTATCGATATCCAGTGTGAATTATATTAGAGTTTTGAAAACCGCAAAATGTGATATATTTACTGTTCCTTCGTCGGGATTCAAATCATGGATTTTAGAATTGCCAGGTGGACGTGCTAATTATTTACACACCGGAAACATGCATGGACAGAATGCGATATGTCGTTAAAGGTAGGATATTAGATTGCATATTCCACTGAATTAATTACATCAGCTTTTGATCCCCCCCCCTCCTATGCAGCCGTGTCTAGATTTTTTTTAAAATTTTTGTTATATTGCGAGTCGTATTTTAAGAAAACACTTGTTAGTAGGTTTCACATTTTTGCCCGTACTTCTAAAGTCGCCAGACCTTTATTTAGTTGAAGAGACGATGATTTGTCAAATCTGAAAATACTAAGCTGTTGCAATTAGTTAGATATTTATGTTTAATCTTAGACAGTTGCAAAGTGAAACGTTATAATGTCCACTGTTCATGCATTCATGATAACTCCTCTTTCATCAGTAAGCTAAAATTATCCAAATACACTTGACATCTTCATTAGCTTATTGGATAACACTAGCTAGACCAAGTCGAATAATAGGCCTTTAGTTTCTATATAAACTAACAAATCTTTGTAAAAAAAATCTATATGTTTTAAATAGATTGCTGTGTTATTAGGTTTTTTCATGTTGGAGGCGTGAAAAATGTGCAGTGCCTCGCTGAGACTCGAATCCTGGCCCTCTCGAATACGCGTCGAGTATGCTTCCAATTACACCATTAAGGCATATGTAACGGAGGGACAAAATACCTTACAAGAAGATAAAGCACTCATTTGATGAGAAGTTTGAATCAAAATTAAAAGGAAACGAAAGGTACCTTTCTCCATCTTATTGCTAGCCTTAACTGCAAAACTTTAAATTTATAAAAGCTACATTATCTAGCTCAACACGCACTTATAAACATAATAGATTTTAATTCTATGAATGTGAAAAGAATTATTAATATAACTATTTCATTTAAAAGGTAGTATTTTCAGCTTAGATATTGACAAATGTGAACTCTGTTTTTAGACTGGAAATAAATGTAAATAGGTAAATATTTCGGAGCTTGTAAAGACATAAGGAGGAATTGCTTAATTAAAAGTGAATAGAAAAAATGTTTTTTCTAATTTCTGAGATTCTTTTCCTTTTATCTGCATTAAAAATCCTGACAATGTTTTGGCCAATTATTTTATTCAGGGAGAATTTGATAATATAATACAGGAGAAAAGCGAGAAAAATGGGCAGAATGTTTTTATAATCACATGAAGTGAAATGCTTTCAGTTTCTTTTTAAATTTTATTTCTTGTTAAAATGAAAAAAAAAAAAAAAGATTTTGCTCTGTATAATTAATTTTAACCCCAAAAAAATTCAGATGTATAAAACACTGAAGTGGTGTCAAGACTTAATATAAATATAAATCATTCAATGATAGAGAAAATGCGCTATTCAAAGGTTATTCAGTTAACATAAGTCTGATATTAACGATTAGTGCACTTTAGTTAATAAGAAAGCTGGCTTACTTTATTAACTACATGCTTCATAGTAATTTGGAAACAAACTAATCCATGAGATGAAAGTAATTTGATTAATCAAAGTAATAAATGACGACAAGTAAAATAACTTCCTGACTAATACTTTTAAAAGTTGCTCTTTTGCTTAATACTTAAAAGAGAAAGCACATTAAATATGTAACAAACAATTTAATTACACTCTAATTGACACGAACTTATCTCAAACTAGTTTATTTAATTTGTTTTTCAGAAGATTATGGAATTATTTTTTTTTGAAACGAATCTAATAGAAAGGAATAGTAATCTAATAGAAATCTAAGAGGGAAAAGAAATAAATCAATAACTTAAAAAAAATATTTAATGTACGTTGAGATTTTGTTTCTGTAACAAATAATTAAAAATTTTTATCTTATTAAAAATAAGAATTTTATTGATAAAATAAAGTTTTTTATTTCATGACTTCAAATAAAGTTTCATACAATTTAATTCATTTAAATCCTTCTTATCCGAAATCAGGTAAAAGTTTGTATAATTTATATTTCTCCATTACAGCTTCTGAATAACTGAATATAAATATAATTTTATAATATTTATAATATACACTCGGAGCGTATTCGAGAGGTCCAGGTCCGAGTCCCGGCCAGAGCATTGCTCATTTTTCATGTCTCAAGGCCCGTCCACACGAGGACGCTCCCGACGTAGTTGACGTAACTTTTTTGACGCCGGCGTAAATTCGCAGGACGCAGAAGACGTAAAACTGAGTACGCTCCTGTTCAGCTTTTTCGCCCGCGACGCGCGCGTATAGCCAATAGCCGACCGAATTCTTATCACGTGTCATAATCAGAAAACCTTCTTGCTTACCCGTTTCAATATGGCGTCAGAGCCACACAGAGATGAGTTTTTGCTTAGAAATATAACTGTATACAGCAATAAAATAATCAGCATTGTTCACGCCATTTTCAGATTTCTCAAACCGTACATATTAGTATACATTTAAAATTCTCATTAAAGGGGAAAACTGTATACTTATAAAGCAATGTTCCGACCAGTATATCCATATGCTTCACCTATTTATAACACCGTAAGTAATAGGAACCTAAATAAATTACAGTTTCTACGAAATCAAAGTTTCTGCCTTACAAAATTCTCCTTAATTATTATAAATATTGGCTATATCATGTGTAATAAAAAGCTCTAAATATCCCAATATTAAATACACCAAAAACTAACTTCAGCAATATAATAACTTCTAAAATAAAGCAGTGACTGTGAAAGAGTATTCAATAAAATACAATTACGAAATTTTGGAGGAAAGTTACAACTTGTGTCATACAGCAATCATTTATTGAAGTTTGCAGCAAGTTTAAATTATCTTTGCAGCAACTTCTACTTGTTACATTATTTTTCACAAACACTTGCTATCGCAGATAGCTGAGTGGTTAGCGCGCGCTGCTTTGGTAGCGGAGAAATGGAAAGGTGGCCAAGTTCGAACTCACCCGTAGACGGTATATCGATAATTCAAGTTGGATTTTCTCGTTTTGAAACGTGTTTCTTATATTTAATCATAAATCATTGTATTCTTATTTTACCTATTATTATTGTTTTCATTTCTTATTTTATTCATTATTATTATTGTTTTTAATTTAGTTTAAAAATGTGCAATGCAAATAGAAATCCTTATGTAAAAATATATCTGCATCTCTTTATCATATATCATCTATAAATTCTCTCTTTATTTTTACTTTATTGCATATTTTATCATGCACATAATTTCTCATAAACTGTCCAAAGTTTGAACCTCATTCTAAATTAAAAAATAAATAAAAAGAAAAACAAAAGACCAAGGGAGAGCGAGTTAAAAAAATATGAAGTTGGTTTTATTATATGGTGGATGGTGTATATAAAGAGAATTAAGTAATTTAATTCTCTTTATATACTGTATTCCAAACCAATTTTATAAATCCTAATATTCATACGATATAGAATCTGCAAGTCTGTCAAACTGGTCGATACTCATCCTGAAGGAATTAAAAAACAAGTA